CATGTTGGCAGGATGTACCAATCATTAAACCGAGTGTAATCAATTCCTATATTTGTCACAGGAATGTAATGGACCTTTATACTGTCAGTTTAATGAACATTGATTTGCTCAAGTACTCCTTGCTCCCATAACATTTGCTTAAATTGTCATAAAAGTTGACAGAAACAGAGGAAGATGTTGCCAAGTTGTATGGATAACACTCTCCTCAATGAGTGATCAGCACAAGGACCAACAAACAGCCCGTAGAGCATACATCCTGATGAAGTGGTTGGAGGCTCACTTGTTTCAGAAACTAAAAGCATTTTTTCCAAATGTAGAACAGTTTAACCATAATCTTCTCAAAGAATGAAAACATTACATACCAGAATACAATTTAAATATGTTGGTAGAAATGCATTGTGAGTTCGGTAGCAACATCTTTAAGCCTGTTGTCTTGAAGTTCAACATGTATGTATAAGTATTTTGTAACATTAATGTTATATAAAATCTGCATTACACATCAAGAAATGTGAAAAAAATTCATGTACACTTCCATAATACTTCTCCCACCTTCTGTAAATGTGTTTCAAATCTCAGCCCTAAATATGAAATCATAGCCTAGAATTTGGAAGGGTATTAAAATTGTTTCAGTCAAAAGACTTTACTATATCCAGTTTCTCGGACCTTTTGTTGTTTGTTCATCTTAATGAAATAAATGAATGCTCATTTTTGCCTGGCATGCTCTCTGTCAATAGTGTCTTGATGGTGTGTTAACTCGGCTTTATATGCTTTAGAGCCATGCCATAAAGAATTTGCTTCATTATCTTGAGGGGGGCACAGGTGGCAAAGTTGTCAAAGGTGCTGCTATTTGCTATACAGAGTCGCATCCCTTGGGTGCACCAGAAACCAGTGATCATTGGTTTGAATCCTGGGTTCACCATAGTTATGTTTTGTCCACACCATGCTCATGGGTTACTCCACAGTGGTAAACCTCTGGGTCCCGATCAACAAAGCATTATTAACATTATGACCTATCTCTATACTATATCATTGGCTTAAGAACAACATAATGCTACAACCATTTTGTGAATAGGTTCCCTGAAGAATACATTACCTCGGGCTTCCATCCCTCATTGAGTTGAGATACTTTGTTATAACTGAATTACTGTTCAATACAGCTTTTAACCAATCCACTCACCCACTCACTTGTTGTATTGTTCAAAACAACTGTCAAAATGTTTCCAAGATAAAAAAAAATGATTTGTTTAGGACAATTGATGAACATGTCAGAAAACAGTACCTAAAATGTCACAGTAAACTAACATCAGTTAAGCCAGAATAAAGGGTTTCAGATGAGAAAAGAATGAAAGTAAGGTGATTTATCATTTCCGCAAAAATCGGTATCAAGATTGACAGAAATAAGATTCTGCGCATGGGCCAGATGGACCCTCAGCTTTAATTATAAAGCATTTGTGAGTGGAACTATCACTCATCTGACAAAAGGCCCTGGGCAATTAGTTATGCATGTCTACATACTACATAGTCAGAATGTCTGGTTTAAGAAAGGACTTTCATATGTCACTTCACACTGCTCAGATGTCAATAAAAAAAGTTACTAGTTCACAAGGCTTTTGCAATTGCCTGTCAAGATGATTCAAGATTTCATTTTATGAATTATTCACCTCATTTCACTTTCAGATTTCAGGAAAATTAAAATTAACAAAAAATATTCTCACAATTCTGCAAACGAATGTGTTGTTAATCATCATAATGCTGAATTATCAGACAGCCTTCTACTTTACTGATTAAATTAATCTAGACATTAAAGCAGCTTCAATTTGCTCAATTTCTACTTTTGAATTTATCTTCCCTTTAAAGATATGATTCACTGACCAGCTCATACACCATAGATCTAGTCACACAATACCATTGCTGTAAGACAACATAACACCTTATCTCTACCCAGAGCTGCCTAAATTGTTCCTATGGATTCATTAGAAAATAACTATACAGCACAGACAATTTGCTTTTTGATAAATATACAATTATTATGAACCCAACAGTTATACGTGAGTGAGCATGGTTTCTTGTTGTTGTAATCATATCACAGCAGAGGTATAGAAGTGGGACCCATGAAGATCTGGGTTTGAATTGATCTTCAGTAACCCATGCTTGTTGTAAGAGGCGACTCACGGGATCAGGTGGTCAGACTCGCTGACTTGGTTGACACATGTCATCAGTTCCCAATTGCGTAGAATGATGCTCATGCTGTTGATCACTGGCTTGTCCATCCAAACTCGATTATTTACAGTCCACTGCCATGTATCTGGAATATTGCCGAGTGTGGCATAAAACTAAACTCTCTCACTCACATAGAAGTGGATCCAAAGCATTAAACTCATGCCTTAGTGTGATGAGTGAAAGCTTAAAACACTATAGTCCGTTTGTCTCAAAAGTGGACCGATGAATTGCATCGAAAACTAATAAACATAAAATACTCAATGAAACGCTGATCATACCATCATACATCATACCAACTCTGTGAGGTTTTTGCAGAATTTTTGTCCTAAAAATAAAAAAGTTGTTTAACTATCTATCATTAAAATATTGACACAGTTCACTATTTGTTACGAGGGAGGAGTGCAGAGAAAGGGACAGCCAGGTATCATTTCTACAAAGCATCATGAATTATATTTGGTTTTGGCAATATGGTTTCTAAAAGGTGGTTTGTAATAGTGCACTTCTGATTAGGCTTCCTGAAAACCACCATGACATTGGTATCAGTTTCTTTCATAATACCTTTCTGTGTTTCTTCACCAAAAGAAATGGACATGCGAGATATCATTCTGAAGAACATGCAAGTGAGTTCAATCACTTTCAGCACTATCACTATCAGAAAAAAGTACCATGAAATAATGATCATGTATTTATTGTATCTCAAGATGTTGGGTATTATGATATCTGTTCTTTCATTTCTCATTCAACTCCTGTTATAGCTCTTATGATAAGTTAGTGCAGAAAATGGACTGGAGGCAAAGAAATATTCATATTCGTATTGCATGGCCGTCGTGGACCAACCAAGAGCACATATTTGTCCACTATCATCATCCCAACTTAACACTTACAAAGAAGACAAGGTTGAAAGTTCTGCAATACAAGAGGATAAGTTTGTTCAATATAAAGCTGGGCTGAACAAATTCACTTTCACGTAAATAATAGATCACAGTAAGTGCAAGGGAGTGTTTTCCATTCTAAAATCTCAACACATGATATTACTTAAAATTGTTCCAGCTTTTGAAGTAGGTATACCAGTTGTTGGTTGATGTCAGTAGCCAAGCGAATGAAGGTAGATAAGGCCATATGTCTTTAGTTTAAACTGTTTGAAAATACTGACAATGTTACACTTGATATTAAAAAAAATAATTTATGCCATATGTTGCCAAAGATTTTATGGTGATTTTCATGAAGTTTGGCTGTTAATCGGCAGCTGCTGCTTACATGAAGTGTTTATCTGATGATGTACTGAAAAAAAATAGCCCGCAAATACCAGTAGGTATGCTAACTCTGATGCCTCATAAAATACACTGACCCATTAACCAGTTCCTCTATTCCAATGTGATCCAAGTTATGGCATTTCACCTCCTCACTATGGTAATTCATTCTTACATGTTAACTTTCTGATCTGATTGTATATTTAACCTAATGCGTCATAAAGGTAAATCAGTTATGTATTGTCCTTATTTAGAATAATAACACAACCTATGATTACAAACTTTTTATCGGGTTCAGGGCAGTGGGGTAGCCTAGTGGTTAAAGCGTTCGCTCACAACACTGAAGACCCGGGTTCGATTCCCCACATGGGTACAATGTGTGAAGCCCATTTCTGGTGTCCCCCTGCCGTGATATTGCTGGAATATTGCTAAAAGTGGCATGAAACTAAACTCACACACTCTTTAAAAGATTCATGAATACTTCTTGTGTCTTGATAGTTCCCTATATGACTGTAAAGGTTTTGATCATGATATTTGATGATTTATTGAGATGTGAAATGCCATTCAGATGACCTTTAAAAATTTCACTGCTTCTGAATTTCTTAATGATTGTCTGTTAATGATTAACTACTATATATGGCTGAATTATTGAAAATGCTGTTGAATGGTATTTAAGAAAAAGGGGATGTTGACCATTTTATGGGCTCTGATTAGAATGTAAATTCTTGAAAATATTTGATGAGCAAGTTGAAAAACAACATCACAATTAGATTTGAACATTACTGTACTGGATTTGTATAAGCATGTACTGACCAGCTCATACGCCATAGATCTAGTCACACAATACCATTGCTGTCAGTTGGATGATAGGCAATTCCTACAAGTCCAGTACATCCAGCTGTGCACCTTTGATCAACCAATACACATTTGGTCCAGTCATATTTCATCTTTGCTTCTAATTCTAACACACTATATATTAAAAACTTGCTAAAGCATAATGAAGACTATTCACTCTTTGTCACAATATCTGTATTGCCTGATCAGTTGAAAATATAATAATATTTTACAGTTTTTAACCTTTTCCCAACTCCTGGTATCAGTCAAATGTTTTGGTGAATTATATCACATTGCTATGATTTTATTTCATTATTATTCACAGGGCTTCTTCTAGTAGGGATTGCTAATGATGATGGAAATGGTTTTCTTGTATTTATGTGGTAGCAACTTTATGGATGACAACTTATTTTTTAATGCTTAGAGCAACATTTCAGTGTAGATTCTTATACTTTTTGCTTGATAATGGTGTAAGAATCTAGTGTAGCTTGATAACAGTGTAAAAATCTACATAGAAACATTGCTCTATGCAATAAACAAGAAGTTTTCTTCCATAAAGTTGTATGCTTCATTATAGACTCACCAACTTCTAGAATGCCGATCAAACAATTAGTATCAGTTTCAGTTTGATTAGTAAATTACTAATTAACTGAAACTCAGCCTGCAACTTAACATTGCCAATTATTTTTCTTGTAGCTACAAGCAATGGAAACCATGGGACACTTTGGGATAATTCCCCTTATGAGGTTTCACCTGAGGGAGATTTTCCAGGTAGTGACTTCTACTTGACCCCTTATACCCTACAATAAGCAACCCTATATCATTCTCAAGATCATTACCATATTGGACATGTGTATGGCCGCCAAATGCCAATTATTGCTAATCCTATTGTTACATGTTGGGAATTAACATTAGGAGATTTTATGGTCAATGGTTCATTGACATGTACTTAAAGACCGAATAATGTTCACGACAGTTAACGTTGTTGTGCAATGGGTCAGTCAAATGGCAGATGTAGACTGTAATTATTAGCATAGTTAATACTAATGAGGAAATGGTTGTGAGTAATGCACTGCAATGGCCGTTAGTGACAGCTGTCATGGGAGTATGTCGATAACCATTGTGAAATCTAATTCAGCTTTGCAGTTTTGACCTGTCCTTCAAAATAATTTTAGAATCCATACTTTGTGGGAATGAATGCAGTTTGTTCATAAAAATAGTGCTGTTGATACTGAATTAAAGATTTCCTATGAAACAGTTTCATGATTAACCTTGCATCAAAAGGTGCTGTGTACAAGTGTTTGTCAAGCTGTTTTAACTAGGTGTGTGATTAACATATCGATTCACATCAACACCCTCTTGAAAGTTGTGTAATTGTTTTTAAGTAGCCTTTTTCTAAATTTAAAATATACTCAGTAACAATACTAACCTTGTCTCGACATATCCTGTGATTTTGTAATACAAGTGTTGTGTCACCAGTTGAATTTTGCATGTTCTCGTCTGGTATTTCTGGAACAGACTGTCTACAAGTCCCTGGAACTAACATTTCCTTTGAAGTGAAGTGAGGTGAACAGGGTTTTATATTGCATTGATGATAGTTGCACATGTTTAGTGACGTGCATGCATGTGTGTGGGGGGCTGCTTGTAGGAATCCAAACTGCTGAGGGGCAGTTGCGTAGCCTAGTGATTAAAGCATTCGCTCAAAGACCCGGGTTCAATTCCCCACTTGGGTAGAATGTGTGAAGCCCATTTCTGATGTCCCCTGCTGGGATATTTCTGGAATACTGCTAAAACTAAGCTCACTCACTAACTCATTCTCCCAAACCACTGAGATACCCCCCTGACAGTTTAGCACTAAGACCAGTATGCTGACTCTTGAGCCAACCAGTCCTTATCTTATCCCCTTATTGTACACCTCCATGGTGTAGTGGTTAGAGTGTCCACCCGGAGAGCGGAAGGTTGCAGGTTCGATCCCGACTGTGTCATACCAAAAGATGTTAAAATATGGTACTTGTTGGTCCCTGCCTGGCACTCGGCATTAATGGGTACATCGAGGACTGATCGGCTCGGAGTCAGTATAATGTGTCTGAGTGGGGTATTCATGCTTCACTGCGGCATGGAATCTCAGTGGACTAGCACTATAAAACCAGCTTCAGTCTGGGCTAGTACAAGCAGCCACACATACACATACACACGCATGCACGTCGTCATATTAGCGAAATATTCTCAAGCACGACGTTAAACCCAATTCTCACCTCACCTCACCTTATTGTAGACACCAGGAAGGGGAACATAAAGTGCCATCCTTTGTCTTTTGTTTAGGCAAGGCTGGTTCTCAAGCACCAGGCCTCTGCTGTAGGAGCAGATGCTGTATCCACTACACCACTGAGGCTGTTCATGTCCTTTCATTATCCTTTATAGCATTCTTAGTTCTGGGAATAAGGAATGTATTCTGAAGAGTGTTCTGAGCTGTTTGGTCATAATGGCTGGGGTGTGGATTTGGAAATTTGAAGTTAAGTATTGATAGATACTTTGTACATGATAAAGAATGCACCAATGACATGGTTGTATAGACAATCAATGAATTATTATCTCAAGAATGAAAATCTGCCACTTTCACTCAAAGCACGATGTCATGCTTCCAGTAGGACATGCCTACCATCTTTGTGAACACCTGGTGTCACAACCGATTTCAGTGATCCATTCTCATGTTTTATCAGCGTTGATTTTCTTTTTGAGAATCGGTTTTGAGGGATGTTCAAGATTCGTTGTCTGCTGTTGATATTTAAATTTAAAACTTAATACTCTGTATGTATGTGTCTAATAGTGTACTCATGTAACGACCCTGTGAGAAAATGTCATGAGTAATTCACACTTGTTGTAAGAGCAGAATGGGGAGTACTTCATGCTTCTCATCACAGGCCACTATGACAAAGCTTATATAATGCTGAATAAGGCATTAAATAAATAGAGTCAACCATTCACACAAAAATTGTGTTGCCAAGAATGTTTACTTTGTGGTATAAATGAAAGGCTTTTGTGATTTTTTGTACAAAGGGATTTTGCTAAAGTTATTGTTGCCAAAAGTAGAATGTTTTTGTAACTTCATCATACATCCACACATAACAGGTTTCTTGCAATTTGACTACTCCAGGATTGATTTACAGAACTTTTTAAACTTCCAGACCTGTTTAATTTTGTATCATACACTAAGGATGGCATTACAACTATACATGTCAATACCAAGCTAACACGAAAATGTAATAAGAACATCAGAGAAACATTTGGTAAAGTTTTCAGGAAATGTTTTGTAGAATGAATTATTTGGCAGTAATCTTTTAATAACATTTCACAAAATATTTGAAAAAATACTTCATTGACATGAATTTGTATGATGCCCAAAACGTTTAGCAATGTTTTCTCTGAGCATATGGTTGTAACATTTGAAAAGGTTTCCACAAAATATTCCGCAAATTCTTCTGAAAACAATTTATTCATTTGAATTTCTATGGTTCCAGATACGTTTTAGCAACTTTTTCTGAGAAAATGTGGTTTTAACTTTTTGAGGAACAGAAAAGCCCAGTTAACAATTAGTTTTAGCAACTTTCTCTGTGAAAATGTGGTTTTAACTTTTTGAAGAACAGAAAAGTCCAGTTAACAATTAGTTAATGTAATATTCATTCAGAGACACAGCCAGATGCTTGATGTGTGAATTGTATCATGAATTACGTTAAATTCACAAGTTGTTGTGACCAGAGAGTGCCCCTGCATACTAACTTTTTAGGGGCAGAGTGCAGGTACAAACCTGGACTAACACTTAGTCTCTGAATATGCCTAATATTGATGGAAACAAATAATTCCCCTTAATTTGAAAGAGAGACCCAGTAGCTCCTGTACAAAATGTGGGTGAACTGGAGGTGGTATTGCATGAGGAGTGGCGGCAATTGCCTCAGGAATGTATCCGTAGGCTCACTGGTGCATTGAGGAGAAGAGTGGAGGCTGTCATCCAGGCACGTGGCAGATAGACGAAATACTCATGTCAAACACCTTGGTAGATTTCAAGGGGCCTTTACAGACAATGAGATCTGCCACTATCTCATCATGTAATGTGCCAGGACAATACTTACTCACTGAACTGCTTTTCCACAAAATCAACAGTGTTGGCATTTCTCATGTACAGAGCATACAAATTCACATATTGCCTACATTTTGTTTTTGTTTTTCTTAGTGGTGCTCCGATTAATTGAAATAATCGAAGATTGGTCACAAGCAATTGATCATGTTTTCTCGTAATCGAACACAAATAATTTTGTAACACCTGTTTGCATTAGCAATAGTTTTCACAGGGTTGTCTGTGTCATTAAATTTTCATTTCATAAGCACTATGAGGTCGTTCCAAGTCATGATTGAATTTATGTTAAAGACTCCAGGAAATCTGTTCCTAACATGTTAGTCCTCCTTTAAAGATGTCAAATTTGGAAATGCATTTTGTGCAATTTGCACCAAAAAAAAAAAAAAAACCCACAAAGAACTACGTTTTTCTTTATTTTTTGTGCATTAACAAACATTACAGGAAATTTGATCAATGACGCTAACCAATTATTTTCGATGATTTCAGTTATGAGATTTTAACCAATTCCCAACTCTAGTTTTTCTGCAGACAATTATTCAATCTTCAATCAGATAATCAGGCATTACTGCCCTTCTAGAGGAATGAAAGTTCTGACACTTTTCTGTTCACATCAGTGTTCTAGCAAATGGGGTGTGCTTAGTTAAGTTCCAAGAGTATATATTCAAGAAGCATCTAGATCAAGTTATTTTGAAGCTGAAATATAATGTGCAATAGCCTAAAGTTACTCAGGTGAAAATGTGTGTGGATTTAACATCCACTTCTAATATATCACATTGGAAAGACATTACTCTGCCTTCAGATAAGTAACAATATAAAGTAAGAAGATAAAAAGATATGTGACTCATATATCCCTGATCATACTCTGATTTAGTCACATCAGACTGGAAATGATTATTGACAAGTCTTGACCAGCCACTAAGTCAACCTTTTATAACAGACATGGATTACTAAGGACTTTTTCTAACCCGGAGTCCAAACTGGAATTGTTTTATGAAACTGGCATTGTAACTAGCCATGATCAACACCTGCATCACAGAACAGTTATAGCTACAGTACTATTTCGTCACAAGCATTAGAACCAAATTTGTTCAGTTTTCGATCAGTTTTTTTGCTCAATGTCAAAAGGTTTTGTTGAAGCAAATGACCCATTCTTGGTCCTACATTTATTTAACAGAGACTAAGTCAAATTCAATACATTTCTGTATTGTGGGAAAATTTGGTGATCAAGAAGTAAAATATTACTGTTGCAGTTAATGTCCCTTTATCATTGCGCTTCAGCCAACATTGTCTACACCTGTTTCCTTATTACAAAAGCAATTCCCAACAATATTTTCATGTAAATAATCAACAATGACTAACTCACTGACACTATATTGTGATACACTATGACTATGGGCTTGCTAGTGATACCTCATCAAAGAGGACGAGATGATTGATCACCACACTTGGCTGGATACAAATACCACTCATTTAGGATAGAAACATATCTATCTGAAAATGATGGATTAATTTGTGTGGGGAAATGAAACATACATAGTGTAAGCACCTTACTTTCAATATAACTTTTGAAAAAAAATTGAGGGAATGTTATGCAAAAGAATCCAACAACTAGTTCATCCACATTTAGTTTAATCAGAGC